TGTAACTTGATGTTTTTGAAATCTGTGATCTTGGAAAATACCTAGGATATTGATTTCCAACTATGATTATTTTTAAGTCCAGAATTTAAAAAAAATGTGCAAATTTAAAATCTGAGAAAAATTTCTATATTTCAGACCCTGAAAAATAAAATCAATTCAAAATTTGTTACTGAAGATACATCCGCTCTGGAGCTTCTAAGTTCAATGAGTGAAAGAAAATATGAGGAAAATTAAATGCTTGCATAATAAACTATAATATATTCTTTAAAAATCCTCAGTAAGAGAAATTGAAAATTCTTTGAGAATTGATGAAATTCCCTGAGCATTTCCTCAGAGACGAAAATCTCTATAATAAAGAAATCAATCAAACCTGAGCATTTCCGGTTTTCCAGGTTTTTCCACGTAGTAGACAACCTGAATTTCAAATAGTAGTTTTTTTCTTTTTCCAGACATAAATACTGACGGAATACTTTTTGGCGATTTGAGTCCAAAATGGAATAGCCTTATTTATCTTTTTATTATTTGCTGGTTATTATCTTTTTCAAACCAGTTATTTTTTTTTTTCGAAATAATTTTCGGGAATTTGGCCTAATAACGGTTTGGCCTCATGACCGTCCGGCCTAGCAACAATTCGGCGTACTGGCATTTGGCGTGGTCAGCATGTTTGATGTATCTCATGATAGGTCCTGATATAAATTAACCCTTAAATGCTAGTTTTTTTTTTTATTTGCGGTGCATTTTTTTTTTTCTTGTGATAAGGGAAATGGCTCTAATGTTGGCCTATGGATCTAAGATTGGACCCATCGCTAAAAATCTGCTACTTATGGCTGATTGCATCTGAAACTGAACTGTCCCAAAAATGCAAAAAGTGTGATAAAAGTGCACGTTTCCGTCAAATCGTTTTGATGTCTTCGGAGCACTTATTGCTTGCATCATAAGGACGATTAGACGTAAACTTGCAGTTTTATCACACTTTTTAATATGTGAAAACGCGCTTATTAGTCCAATTTGGTGTGAAATGCGCAATAACAATTTTATCTAGATAAACGCGTCATTTTGATGGTACTTATGGATATTTTTGGTCGCTATTGAAAATTTAGTCGATTACTGAATTTATGTATGGGCCCAAATTAGGGACATTTAGGCCGAGATTACATCCATTTCCCCTATATAATATAAAAACAAAAGTAACACAGTTTTTCTTGAAAACATTGTACCTAAAAAAATAGGACCTCAATAACGATATCTCTCGAGCTTCTCGCAGAAAACAAGCTAGCTCACTTAGTCGCAAACAATGTTGCATGCAAGATAGACAGAATATACGTCCAAGTGATCCGATGCTAGCGCTGCGGTGAGTAGTTCGCGGAAATGTTAATATTCAAATCACTCGTTTAATGCGTGAACGATAATCAAGAACAAAGAGTTACGTCTGTTTGTCTGTGGATATATATTGCGCTTACTATTAAAATGTTTTTTTTTTTTTCCTTTGGTTTGTTTTTTCCGTCGATCTTGTTTTCCGTGCTGAGCACCAATGCTACCGACGTGCCAGGAAGGCAGCTCCCACACCTGGACCCTACCTATCGACCCATCAACTCATGAACCGGGGACCAACGGCTTTACTTCCCATCCGAAGGAAGGCGTGATCAGAGATGTTATGCCTCAGAACATCCCGGTGGCGCCGACTGGGATTGAACCCAGGCCTGCTGGGGTGAGAGGTAATCACGCTTACCACTACACCACCGGCACCGTTATATTAAAATGTGGTTTCACCATGTTTAAAGACAAACATTGGTATGTTGCCAAATGACAACACTATGCATTTAAGGATTAAAGGTACGTACCATATACCCGAAACCCCAGGAACATGTTTTGATGTGGTCGATGGGTCCGGGATACTCACCAGATATGCTTTAAATGTTTCTTTTGATTTAAACATCAATATCACATAATTCAGAAGCTCTACGTTTGACATATCGAGTTATAGAATCACCAAAGAAGGCATCGACTGGTAGAAATATCGACTTATGAAGATAACGATACAATACGATAGAGTTATAGAAAATATTGATTTATAAAATATCGAGTTGTGAAGAGTTGTCTGTACTTCCAATTAGTTAAAATCTAGTGAAACTCAACCCTTCTATATATTGTACAGATTCCTTAGGCTCCAAACTATAAAAAAAATAGAAAGATGGTAAATTTTATGACGACCAATTTTGCCTAAGGAAGTACGATCCTATGTTGTAATTTCGCTATGATTAGTTACAGTTGTGGAATATCTGCAACAGTGCTGTAAATTTCATATCATTCGATTGAAGATGAACCAATACAACCATTCAATCAATTCTGTGTAAACGAATTATCACATGACCATAATTTGAAGAGCCCCTTTCTCATTCGAAGCTCTTTGTCACTGTCAATTGAGTCACTCACTATCATTTGATATACGACAGTGGAGTATGGAAGAAATCCGGCAAAATGGTCCCGAACAGACAAGTCGACCCAATGTCGGATCAATTTAAGGCTATTTTAAGGTCGATGTCGACCAAATATCGTGTTGTTGTCGGGTCAATTTTGGGTTTAGTCGGGTCAACATCGGATTGGGGTTTGGTAGAAGTCAGGTTGGTGTCGGGTTGGCTTAGTTTTTTCGCCGGAATGTAGGCCAGAGCTCCATTTATGTGTAGGTTGCACTCAATTGAATGATATATAGCGTTTCTCAAATGAGAATAATCCATTCCTTCGTCAAATGACTAAGCAACTCATATCACACATTCGAAGGAGGTCCTCTTTGATAACGAATAGCTACTTTTATCATTCCATCAAAAATGTTCAAATGATTTGGAGAATTTACACCGCTGATTCTGCAATATCGCTCCCTGCATCAAGTTCTCAACCGTTCCGATCGCACCCCAACCAGCGCTATTGAATACTTGCTTGACGTTGATCATTATAACGGAGCAATATCGATTTCCCCTCCGTTTTTGTTTCTACGACTTCTCGGCTCACTGTCCAGATTATATCATTAGCGTCTCGGCATAGCTCCTTAAAGCAGTTAAGCTTTATATCTTGTTTAAGTGCGGCCCTAGCCGCTCTAAGCACTCCCATATGTTTTTCTCTGTCTGGCTCTCTGAACACGTCTTCTGGCCCTTAAGCAACTTGCGCGGAGGGCACTGATCGCCTTATTCCACCAGTATACTGTATGATGCAGCGCTGTTTTATGTATTTGTGGTATGTGGTACTCGATTATGACGACTGGGTTTGGGAAGAACGTTTATTTCATGAAAAAAAATATCACTTTTTATTTGTACATTGGACAATGCTTGACATTACCACTTTTTCAATAGCTTCTCGTTAAAAATCATCAGTCGGAAATATTTCTGATCGATTGGTGACAAAATTATTAAAATTAGTGTAGGGACAACTGAGTTACTAATGTTCAAAATCTTTCATAATTTTGTTTCATGTTCCATTTTTGGTGTAACCCCATACAGCAATCACAGACGTAGTCCTACGTCAAAAATCTTCGGTTATCTGTGTTATGTTCTTCAAAACTTAACAAAGAAAAATAAACCCAAAAATATTCTTTAAGGGACTGCAGTATAATAGTATTTTCATTATATTTTCATCATATTGAGGAGCCGTCTGCCCTTTTTTGCCTCTTTGAAGTTTGTGGATGCTTGAAATATGGTTTTTCTTTTGAACTGATATTGCCTATTACTTTCTCTGTTTTGCAGATAGAACCTTATTATAAAGTTGTGTATTTTATTGATTTTAAAAAAGTTGCAGAGCATGATAGTGATCTAAAACAAATTATTTCGGAAATATTTACAAAAAAATCCTTCTATAAAAAAACGCTTCATAGCTCGAAATTGCAAACAGATGACAATCTTCTAAGAAGTTTTTAGTTATGAATCTACCTACGATTTTCCTGAAGACTCTTCTTTTTTATTTGGCCAAACTAAAAAGTTAGATTTTTCAGCGCCATCTGTGGTGAAGTTTCGAACTAAAACTTAACTTCATTCAATGGGTCTTGTCGTTTACAAAAAACTCTTCTGAAGACACCATATTGAAAAAAACACTGTGAAAGGTGCTAACGACAAAAGTATCATGTTAGATTTAGTTCCTCTCATGAGGTTTCGGACAGTGCATTTTCGTGTTTTTGAACGCACCGTTGCAGTATATTTTTGGCTATTTCAAAGTTGTAGAACTCTTGACATCCTTTTGAAGATGCTTTTCACAATTTCCATTCAGCATCAGCAATCGGAAATCAATAGATTGCAGTTGCGAACAGTTTGGATTGGGAGAGCGACCCATTTTTTAGCAAGAATGACGTACAAAATTCATGTCAAATTACACCAAAACAATTGAAAATTGTTGTGTTTTCTCCACAGCCTTTTCCATGGATGCTGCTTATAATATTGTATCATGTGTACAGTGCGAAAAACCTGTCCAAAATTTATAAGATGTTCAAATTCTAAAATCATAAAATCACCGAAAAGCATAGTTTTTTATTTGTTTTTGTGAAGCTACATGGCAAAAATAGTTAATTTTAAAATATTGTTTATGTATTTGGAAAGAAAAATTTGTTTACAACTTATTTTGGATACTACAGTCCTTAAACAAAAAAAAATCAACAATAATCAGTGAAACAATGGTCCTAATGGTCTCGAAGAGCAGATTTTTTTTTCCTTTATTTAAGAGATTCGAAGAGCAGATGATAAAATATGATCAGCAGGCATTTTAAATGAGTGAATTAGTTGGATGACAAATTTTTGGAGAAAAAAGCGGTGAATCAATGCAATCGGTGATCGTTCATCACACGGCACTGTAGGAAAATATTTCTATAACATTTGATTCCAAATATAATCAAGAACTAATTCTTCTAGAACATTTTTGAAAACGTTATACCCTCATATATTTGGTGTAAAAAAAGAAGAAAGGAAATGAACGTACCTGCTGATTATTTGCTAATACAAAAATAAATCAGTTAAAACACTTACCTCTTTCAGAATACTGACTGCGAATTTACGCGGTGCTGGGCGACAATTGCACAGCATAACCAATGCCAACCCCTCCACCATGTGCATAGTGGTAGCAAGCGGAACCTCATGTCCTTTTTTACTACCGGATGACGCCGAACCATGCCCACTGGAATCGGTACCACCAACCGCCGGGATTGTGGTCGTTTGCGTTATCGACGAAATTCCGGAACTTCCACTTGAGTTGGAATTTATTGTCGCTGCATTTAACGAGGATGCAGTCTGTTGAGGCTGTAACTTGGGAACGCTCAAATCAAGTTGTTGTGACTGTTGTTGCTGTTGTTGTTGTTGCTGATGTGAGGCAAAGCGTTGTGCTGCCGTTGTATTTGAACAGGATTTCGAGTTTAGTGTGTTGTTGTTGCTATTGCTGGTTCCACTGTTATTGAGAGCATTTTTCCAAACCGTTAGAAACGCGAACAACATTCGCAGCCCGTTGTCTAATAGGTGCGGGAATGTGTCAACCACATCTCGTGCAAGGAACTGAGTGAAGCCTTGAATCACGTCCTGACGCCAATCGGGAAAATCTACTACCAGAGTTTGCAACGATTGGTGCGCCAATGCCCGAAGTTCTTCATCCATGTGAATTGTTAGCCTGGAAAGCATATCCACCAGTTCATGACCGGTCATGTTGTCTGGGATTATTCTCGGCACGGCAGCAACACAAGTTCTGAACAGATCGATTCGAGGTTTCCTTTCACCAGTCAGCATTTCGTCCGGTTCTTTGTTCAGATTTTGATTTATAGTCATCATAAGTGGTCTTCCACAATGGATATCGAGAGCCCTCAAGATATCCACAAACACTCTTCGAACATGAGGGAAATAATTGGACATTCCAATACTGCGAGCAGTGTCTTCTGTCAACATCTTGTTCAAGTATGTTTTTTTCACACGAAGAGTATTGCCGGATGGCAACACACCGACCGTCCGGGGCATCGGTGGTTCACCGTCCTTTTGCTGCAATGAATCAGCCACAACCAGAAACGCTCGTAATCCGATGCTCATCCGCTCCGGTGTCATGATGATTTTAATTGGTCGTCCAACACAAAGCAACTCAAACACGATATCTCGCATAGCGAAATCTAACCGTTCCTGAGCTATGAACTGAATGATTTTCACAAAAATATTCAGTGGAGTATCCCTAGGAACGACCGCTTTTGATCCACGAGGAAATAGAGAATTTACTATACTTTGAAGCCGCGAATGGGTGGCCGAGTTCGATTCACATTTGATTCGTATCATATACACCCACAGCAACCGATACAGCGATTCCAAAGCCACTCGACTCATTTTTGGGTCTTTATTCTTCAGGTTACTCAGACACATGGCCAAAAAGCAGTGCCAGTTGCTAAGGAAGAAAGATTTCTGCGACACACACAATAAACATGTGACCAGAGGGAAGAGAGCTAGCTTGTGTTTTGATTTGGTGCACGCGTCCAAAGTTTGGGAGTAGAGCAAATCGACAAAGTTCTTCACGCATGGTACGTTGACTTCATTTTTTACGGCCTATAAATAAAAGACAATAATATGCAATCAGTATCAAGATAAATATAGCTTCAAGATTGATGATTAACCTACCGCTGCTACAGGAACTAGGATTTCCACAAACAGACCAGCCATCGCATGTTTGATATCTTTATCCTTTACCTCAAGGAAATACTGAGCACACTCGTGCATAAACTGGAACGATGCTTCAAACTCCTCAATCGGAGCCATTTTAACGCGGAAGAACTTCATTCCCATTAGCAAACTGATAATACTGTGCGTGGTATGTGGACTTGGTTCTTTGCTACGAAGCTCTTTCAACTCCGTCATGAACCGTTTTTTCACCGAAGCAAAGCGGCTTTGGGCCAATACACCAATGACCTCTGCATACAGATCTGCTATAATATGGTTGTACAGTGCATTCGGTGAACCTTGGACACCTTCTTTGTACTTGAACTGGCGGAAAGCGAGATTTTCGATATTCTTCACAATATCGTCATGACCTGGGTGGAATGGGAATTGTCGCAGAATTTCAATCAACGCTAAACAGAAGATAAATTCGACAGCCGCCTCCCGTCGTTGCAGTTGAGATTCTAAATCGTTACCGGGTTTAGCAGTTCCAGATTGACGTTCGGTTTCCATGCGCTTAAAATCGCGTTTGATATCACCATCACAGATTTGATGCCAGTGCCATGCCAGTAACGCTTTCAGCAGAGATGGCAAACAATGCTCAGCAACGGACCCCAGTGCCTGCAGAAGCTGATCAAACTGATAATCCTCCCCTCGTTGCAGCAACTTGGCCAATGTCTTATCAGTGCTTTCGAGCATAACGGTTTCTATCTTTTTTTCTGCTTGCACTGTAAAGTCAGCAAACAATGTCCGCATAACAATCTCTCCAGGCCGCATAGTTCCATCACTGTTGGCCATCATATCGATTACTACCGAAACGCTAGGTGGAACAACGGATGATCGGTTATGCGTATTCCAAGGAAGCAGACTCAATCTTACAGATGTATTCGTATTGCTGGCTAGCGGTGATTTTATGGATTCAACTTCAATGTTGGAAGGATTTTCTATTATCGTCACAGTGTCCCCTTCGTCCGCTATGTTTCCATCTCCACTACCACCGCCAGGACCAGGACCTGTGGCATTACCACCACTCTGGGCTGTTGCCAACTGTAGCTGGGAATCGGTCTTCGAGTTGCGATCCAAGCTCAGTTTAGGGGTACTGGTTAGATTAATTGAATTCCGAACATTTGTAATTATGCTAGTTGAATCACTCGAACCTCCTACGGACGACAGACCATCTGACAGCGATGGTGGCTCCGATAGGGATAGATTCTGCTGATTGACTACATTTGCACTATAGTCCACACTCTGTCCGGGTTGGGATTCTGCAAAAAAGACAACGTTCATTATTATAAGTGGAACTAGAAGATATGTACAGGTTACGCAACTACTGCACTGTATTTAGTGGATGGATGCCTCTCAAGATCATATGAATAACTAACTACTGATTTGGGATAAATAGTAAATTAGAATACTTTTATTAGGTAGGTGAAGCAAGATGAATCAACGACATCATCTTTTTTTTATTATCAACATCAACAGGCTCAATGTAACCACAATGCTGGTTTGAAAAGCAAGCCATCATTGGGGTTGCATTAATCCTCCGTTACTCGCGCCAACTTCTGTTATACGAGTACTCGCGCGTTGTTACTTTGTACAACAGTGAGAGTTTTCCATTGCCATTTTGCAGCCGAGCTACCAATCGATATGAAACTAACGGATATTCCTTAAAAAAATTGTTTTTAACTTAACAAGCTAAACTTTTATCACAGTTAAACCCCCAAAAAATGCGGATAATAAAGAAACGTGGACTTGACTTAATTGGTTAGAACATGGAAAATTTCGAGATCCTGACCAGATAGAAAGTTACTGTCTTGGGCAAAGTTGTTTAAGAGATCATAATCTTTTCGCTGGTGGAGAGTAGTTCAAAATTTTCTCACTACGTAGCGCTAGAATACATGTGAATTTATCGCATGTGATATATCTCGAGATCATGACCAGAAAGAAAGTTACTATCGTCGACAAAATTGTTGATGAGATCAAAGCATATTTCTTGGTGCACAACAGTTCAAAATTTTCTCACTACACGGCGCTAGTATACACGTGAAATTCTCATATAAAATATCTCGAGATCCTGACCAGATACAACGTTACTGTCTTCGGCAAAGTTGTTCAGAAGGTCAAGGCCTTTTCGTTGCTGAACAGTAGTTCGCGGCGCTAGTATTCATGTAAAATTTTCGCATATATAAGATATCTCGAGATCCTTAGTACAACGTGGAGCTAGTATATACTCAGCCGCATAGATGGCCCGGTATTGTTAAATTGCATAGTCGAGTTTCCGTTCGTGCGAAAAGACCTTTACCAGCCCCTTTTCAATTGGTCGAGACTTTTTTATATCTTTGGTAAACTCTTCAGGAGACGTCAAAATTTCACAGCCTTTTTTGTACTTTTTCTAAGATATGTGGAAAATAAAAAACTACAAGGGACAGTCCTATGGGGTTGTACGCAATGGTGACGTAGGACTATGTGGTCTTATATAATAAATCTTATTTGTTAACTACAGCAGGAGCTTGTATTTTGTGTAAGAATAGTAATTTGAGTGTGGTTCTCTCTGTTTATACTCTTTAGTATGACGCATTTGACATAGATGGCCCAAAGCGACTCACGAAGAGCTACTGATTCCGATCAATAACGGTGCGGCTGCTTCCTCCTTCTATGGATGCTCATAGGGGCAGCAGCTCACTGCTTACAGGCAGGCTTCCGTTGTGTGCTGGAGAACAATGTTCAATGCCACGCGCCAAAAGCACTGCTGCTGTTGCGCTGCTAATGCCAACGACCGGACACCACCACACACGGTCATTGGAACTAAATCCGATCAGTGGTTGAGGCCAGCCTTGATAGCTAGCTGCTTGCGAGGAACCTTTCGTTGTGTACTGGAGAATAAACACCGTTTGGTGAGACCGTATGGAGTTCAACTTTGAAATTTGTGTTAGGTAAATTGCTTTTCGCAGGCAATCAGTGATAATTTTAATTGTCATAGCAACAGTTGCACATTCATGCAATTTTCAGTAGTGACACTTTGAAACAATGATGAAGTCTCAATATTATTAAATGCGTAGAAATATTTCTGATCGATTGGTGATAAAATTATTGAAATTGGTCCTGGGGCAACTGAGTTATTAACGTTCAAAATCATTCATAATTTTGTTACATCTTCCATTTTCGGTTTTCACAAAGTTTACCCCCATATAGAAATCACAGACGTAGTCCTACGTCAAAAATGTTCGAAAACCGTTTTTTTTTTTCTATAACCTACACGTACACACAGAACTTTTACTAACCAATCAACTGCAGTCACAGTGGCTAGGAAGACAATGTACTTAACTTTGCATGATTGTCTATTATGGTCAATCATTAACATTTGAGCTAAAATCCGGCAATTTAAAATCATGCAAAAATGTTTAAAATATTTTATTGTATATTGCATTGGGTTTTTACCCAAAATTTCTTTAAAAAAATCCGTGTATATTTTTTTCTGAAAAGGACTTATTTTTGGAAACAACTTATTTTTCGCATCAAGAGCCCCCGGGTAACGGACTCCTCGTTAGGATTTGAATTTAAAAATAAATATGAGAATGCTGATGATTTGGAGATGTGTGTGATGAGCTATCTGTAAAACAAACAAAGTTAATAATATTGGGATGTACCCAGTGGAACTAAGTTCTTTTAAAGGGATCCCTTACCTATAAATGATTCAAAATATTAATATATGCTTAATAGTAAGTGTAATACAATTATAATAATGAGTACAATTTTTTTAGATTACGAATTTATACCAAGAGTTCATTGATTTTTGATTTGTAGTGTTGCTTTAAACTGGTATACCGAGTGTTGTGCTCATGATTTGTGATTGGTAATATGAGGTTACGATGCATGTTCGGGTTTTCTAGCGTATCGTATATAAACAAGCAAGACTGCAATTTACACAAGCCACGTAATGGGAGAATACTGTGCGATATGTTGGTGTAAAGTTGGAGTACATCGATTTTGCAATACTTGAAGTTTTTCAGCTAAGCTTTGCAAGCATGTCCCCAAACAATGATTATTTATTGCAAATGAGAGTGTATACAACTATGATAAAACGTTAGAAGACCACTCCTAGGCACAAATTTGTTAACACGATACATTAAGCCATAAAGAGATGAAATTTTCCTTTGGACAACGTGTTCTAATGATCACAGGATCTAGGATCAACACCACACCTAAGTATTTAAAACTAGATACTTTTTCTATTACTTTAGATCCAATTGACGGACTATTGTGCGGAGATTTTTTTTCCTTTGAGAGTGGAACACCATATATTTAGTCTTAGATAAGTTTAACAAAAGTAAATTAGCATCAAAGTATCTCATGAGAACCTGCAGATCATCGTTTATGCAAGAAACAATAGATAAAGTATCATAAGCAGGGTAAAAAAGTGCTGTATCGTCCGCAAAAAAAATTTAGCTATTCCTTTAAGAGGTCAGAGGTCAGAGATCAGAGAGGGACCCAACTTCCTTGAGGAACTCCTACGTTTACTGGCCAAAGCGAGCTCTGTGCATGTTTCACTACCACAAACTGGTGCCGATCACTTAAATTACTACGAATAATGTCATTTGCCAGTCCATGCATAGCTTTCTAATTTTTGTAAAAGAATATTATGATCAAGAGTATCGAAAGCCTTCCTCAAATCTATAAAGAGGCCTCCAACGATACATTTGTTATCAAATTTATTTAACAAAAAATCGTCAAGCTCAACTATTGCCGTAGAAGTACTTCTTTCTTTTCTAAACCGGTATTGGAATTTATACAAAACGTAAAATTTGTTAAAGAATTTTACAAGTCGGATTATCGGACTCTCAAAAAAATATTTACAATAGACAGCGTGGAAATAGCACGATAATTGCAAGGATCAGATGCAACACCAACTTTAAAAACAGGCACCACTTTTGCCTGTCCATTTTGATTGGAAGTGTCGTTTTCAAGTTATGATTGTTATGATTTGTTGAAATATATATCGAAACATCGTTTTTTTTTTTGCAATATTCAAAATGGTGGAATTTTAGCTCAATTTTAGTACCACTTATGATGATATGTTCCTATTATGGTGTGTTCCAATTATGGCCAATGAAATTTCCACTTGCCATAATTGGAACACACCATAATAGGGACGTTTAACCATAACTGGTTACCATGTACACGTACCATATGGGATTTGAGCTAATTGGGACCAAACATTGATTGTACGGAAATTTCTAGAGATAACTTCCGAAGGACCATCCTGTAGTCACCAGAGTCCAAATACTCTAAAATAACAAATTCTATGGGATCTCCCTTTATAAAAAAAATAAATAACCAACTAATGAGAGATGCTAACTATTTAAGAGGAGAAGGTTTAGAATTATTTGACAACAAATATATAAGCCACATATAAGAAAAACGTGATTAAGGGTTGGGGGAGAGTGTATTGATTCTTTCTCAATTTAGTGTGCCGCACTTAATAGATCGCCCCTAAGCAGCGTTGTTAAGATTTTCGGGCAGTCTATTTTCACCTAATCACTACAATACACCCCTGGATACCAGACTCATCGGTTAGAATACTGTGATTAATAAGAAATAGCCCCTGTGAGAAAACTCCTTCATTGCAATTATAATTCACGTCACCGATAGATCAAAAACATTGTTCTCAAAAGATGAACTCAATATAAAAGAGGAAAAATAAACATTTACACAACAATATAGTATCCTAGCTGCAATATGAAAACAAACACTCGCCTTGACTTTCCTAGGAGGAAATCAAACAAAGACCCACCGTGGGCGACCGGGTATCCAGTGAAACTAAATTAGAAAAAAATGTGTACATGCAGCGTATTGCTTTCACTTACTTCCGTGTAAGGGAGACAGGATACAAATGAATCCCAATTATAGAAATAATTTTTATTTTCAGTTTTTTTATATACAAAGTTAAACCACCTTCAAACAAAAATTCCTCATCTTCCCATGAAGAGCGAATGAAAATGTCAGTATTCAGTATTAAATCAGTTCCTAGATGTCGTATGGGGCCCAAGCGTACTCAGTCTCCCATATCCGAAGCCACCAGGTTATACATAGTAGTTGAGTACATATAACTTATTGTACCAGAAGATACAAGGAGAGTAAAGAAAACAAAGAAAAATATGACCTTGTTTCCAATTGATGCACGTGCGAAATATGGTTGAATTTGCAAGAACTATTTTCAGAATAGAATATATAGATATAACTAATGGATACATTCTCCAGCGATGGG